CCCTGAGCTGGGGGCTGTTTGCCAGTGATATCTCCCTGACCCTTTTGAGGACAAGTGGAAGGATGCAAGCACACCTCTAAGTGTAAGTGAAACCAGGCTCAAAGAGGCTAAGTAACATTTCTCTAATTACACAACACATAAAGAATAAGAGAACTGAAAACTAGGTCTGCTGGGCACCCAAGTCAGTTCTGTTTCCACTACACTAAGCTACGGGATGGTGCTGAATTGGAAATCCCCAGGCACTGCCCCTAGAAATACCTGTGTCTGATCATCAGGGGACCCATTCCTCTGCCACTCTGCCGCTGGGTGCCCTCATACCAGGATGACAAATAACAAGAATTGTGTCAACTGATTCTCCTCCTTTGATGGTAGGTAACGAACCTGAAAATGCACATTCTCTTCCTCCGGCCCTCCATCCAATTCCACTCCGGGAATAGTAACCATTTGACAAGTTGTATGTGCAGTGACACAATCCAATAAAAATAAAATGAAGCAAACAACTTTATTTTTCACAACATCCACCCCTTATTTGAATTGTGACTACTCTGGTTACGTTTCATACAGGGCCTGCCTAGAAACTCATTTGGTGCTGAAACATGCCCCTGTGTGACTCGTATTTGAAACCATCAGGCTTGCTCGCAACAGCCTGGGTTAAAGACCCAGGGTGGTACATCGGTGAGAAACTCTTAAAGCGCCTCTTATCTTTCTCCATGCTTCTCTTTCTTACTATATGCGTTGTCAGGTGTTCTTTTTCAGGAAGTAAAATATCTGCCCCAGGAACCATCTCAATCTTGCCTGGGGTAAAAATGCTTCTATTTTGTAATATTATTACATAATATGGGAAATGTACTTATGATATAATGTCAAATAACAAAATAGGAGGTAAAATTGTATGCAGAATATGATCTCAGCCAGGTACTATCCTGGAAAATCAGTCCCAAAAAAGTAACTTAACATGTTAACAGTAGTTATTTTCATGGGATTATACATGATTATTCTGTCTTTTCTAACTTTGGTAATAAGCACATATAGTTTTTAAAAAGTTACATGAAATTACTAAAAAAAAGAATAATTTTTTTTCCAGGAAGAGGCCTTAATATTATTCAGTGCTTCCTTTCCACCAAAATCATTACCTAAAGATATTACTTTAACTAATACCAGACACAAAGATTGTCCAAGGAAAGAAAGTGACACACAGTGTTGCTCATAAATACAGATACAAAAACTATTCCTTAACCTAACAAATAAAATGCAGCATCGTCTACAAAATAACACATTATGACCAAGTAAGGTATACCCTAGATATGAAGATTAGAATATCTATCAGTCAAATTCACAATGATATAAATCATAAGAGGAAGTATGTATGTATGTGTGTGTGTGTGTGTGTGTATGTATGTGTGTGTGTGTGTGTATATATATATATATAAAATCATTGAAATAAATACAAAAAAGTGTATGGTAAAATTCAACATGCAAATTCAGGATTAAAAAATACTTTCTAGAAAATAATACATAAAGGGTAGAATAAATTATCTTTAATAAAAACTTAAATGTCACATTTAAATGTAATCTAGAAGCATTTCCATTAATTCAGGAACAAGACAAGAATACCTACTATCACTAAATAATGTACTGACAGATTCAGCCAATGTAATAAGAAAGGAAAAAGAAACAAGTATTTAAGGATTAGACAGGAAGGCAGGAACCTATTTGCAGGTTTTATGTTGTTGCCATAGAAAGCTAAGCAGAGTTGGAGAAAGTATTAGTAAAAGAGCTTAAAAATATTATTATATTCAAGATTTAAAACCAATATATAAATTGTTTATTCCTTTTAAACTTTTATTTATTTTGGCCAAGTTGGCAACATTTAATAGAATGGTTATTATTCCATAGTCAAAATACAAGAACAAGAAATGAATTAGTGCTGTTACTAGCACATTCTTTCTCTCTGTTTTTAATATATGTGCTTTCATGGTATCTTAGTCCAGACAAATATACTAAGAATAATGACTATTTATAACTGTTGCACAATTACAAGCAATAGCAGAATATCACTCTGGGCTAAATTAGCTATATACTTTCCAAGAACCCCTTGGGTATAAAATGGGCTAAGAGAAACCAATGTAATCATCATGATGATGATGAAGATAAAAAGGAAGAAGAGGAAGAGAAATAGGAGGGGGAAGAGGAGAAGGAGAGAGGAGGCTGTTATAAACTAATTATTTGTTTCCCACTTAAAATTCACATGTTGAAATCCCAGTGTGATGGTCTTGGAGATGGAGCCATGAGAGATAATCAGGGTGAGATGACATCATGAAGGTGGGCCCCTCATGATGGGATTAGCAGCCACATAAGAGAAAGAGAGAAAGTTTGTTCTCTTTCTCTGCCTTGTGAGGACACAGTGAGAAGGCCACCATCTACAAGCCAGGAAGAGAGTCTTCACCTTGCTTTGCTGGAGCATTAGACAAATGCCTCACCAAACTGGCTGGCACCTTGATCTCAGACTTCTGGCTTCCAGATCTCTGAGAAATAAGCTTCTGTTGTTTAAGCCACCATGGTCCATGGCATTGTGTTGTGGCAGCTCGAGCTGATTAAGACAGGATGGATGATAGGAGAAGAGAAAAAGAAAAGAGGGAGAGGAGGGAAATGGTGAAATATAACAAGAAAGGGGAAGAGAAGGGATGAGGGGAGGAGGAGGGAAAAGGGAAAGAGAAGAGGAAGAGGAGGAAGACAGCTAACCTTTGAGGAGCACTTAATACATACCAAGTAATATGCTAATTATTTTATTTGCCTTATTTCAATTGATCTTCATAGTGAGCCTGTCAGGTTTACACTAGTATATCCTCATTTTATAAGAGGAAAATGAAGCTCAGAAAGGTTCAATAGCTTTCTAAGTGAGAAGGTAGTAAAGCCAGAATTTGAACCCAGCTCTGCCTGCCAAGAATCCACGGTAGCAGCACCGACTCACTAGAGGATACTTCTCACAGATGTATTATGCTGATCTTAGAACCTCTGAGGATGGTGAAGATGAGGAAGCTGTAAAAGGGACACCTTCATACCCCTTCCCAATGCCCCAACTAAACTATGTCCTGAAAACCCGAATGCTCTCTTCCGAATGCTTCTTATATTGCATGTTAAAATTAAGAATGAAAAAATATGCACTAAGATACCATTTTTTAATGCATTAAGCATTCAAGAGTGCAAGTTTGGTGGAAAGGTTAAATTTGAAGCAAAAACATAACTTGTCAATTTCCACTACAAAAGCATTTGAATTCTAGTAGATATACTGGGCTCCACAATCTCTTTTTTTCCACAGAGCAGTTCTCCTAAGACTTACTCTCTCACCCACTTGCTTTACTTTTGCTATTTGTAGACCACGATGCATAAAAAACAAGGTTTACATTAATTTTTAGGGAACAAAATAGACTGCCCCCAAAATATTTGTGTATAAAGAGACATTAAAAGCAAAAGCAAAATTGACACTCCTTCCTGAGGTTTTGGCTGTCCAAGAGCTGCATATGTATTACGTTTACATTGCTTGATTCACATAGGGTGTCAGACAAATGCCATCACAAAACATAACTGGGCAGGCACAGCGATGTCTTGAGCAAATCTCTGCCTCTACAAAGCAGCCAATGGCTTCCTGGTTTGCAATTTCAAGATCTGAAAGAGAGCTCTGTTAATCTGCTTCCACGCAGCAGAGAAAACAAGGAAGGGAAAGAACTAAAACCACAGGACAAACACACACACAAACAGCAAGAAGTTGCTTATATCTAATCACAACAGGGAGACAAACTTAGGACCATGAAAGGCATGGTCTTTAGCTAGGGGACCAAATTCTTTAGAAAACATGAAAAGTCATAGAATTACTTCATTATCACACTATGCATGCTGGTCTTCTCCACCAGGCATCTCTGTGCCCTGTCTCTGTCAAGCACTTTCTAAGTGTTGGGAATTTGAAGGTGAACAAGATGTCTGGCTTTGAAGGAGTTTACGCAGGACGTTTTTAATATAGTGAAATACTAACAAAGTGCTAAGGGAACAAACAAGGTCCCATAGTGACCCCAAATTGGGAATAAGGAAAGGCTCCCCAGGAGGCTCCACTACACTCAAACCTGGTGAATAGCAGGAGTCATTATAGAAAAAAGTGAAAAACAAAAGGTTTTCAGGATGGATTAATAGTCCAGTAGTTCTCAAAGTATGGTCTCCAGACCAGCAGGATCAGCAACACCTGGGAACATGTTATAAATGCAAAGTCCGGGGTCCCAGCCCAGATGTACTGACTCAGAAACTCTGGGGACTGGGCTCAGCAATCTGTGCTTCAGCAAGCCCTCCAGGTGTTCATGGAGTTTGAGAACCACTGGTATACGCAAAGATGAACTGCAACAGGCAGAAGGCCTGGAGCAGCGGCCCCCAGCGTTTATGGCACCAGGGACCAGTTTCATGGGAGACAATTTTCCATGGACAGGGACAGGGGGATGGAGGGGAGGTGGAGCTCAGGTGGTGATGCAAGCAATGGGGAGGGGCTGTAAATACAGATGAAGCTTCACCTGCTTGCCACCACCCACTCACCTCCTGCTGTGCCCCGTGCACCTCTCTGCGGCTGCCCCCCACTGCCTGCCCCCCCCCATTTCCTAAGTTTCATTGAAGACAATTTTTCCATGGACCATGACTGATACTGGTCCTCGGCCTGAGGGTTGGGGACTGCAGGCTTGAAGCATAAATTTGGAGGGAGGGGTGGTGGTAGGCAGAGATGTTGCCGGAGGGAGGGTAGAAGGCGTATCCAGAAGGGCTTTATATATTATGAAAAGAATTTTGGATTTCATCTGGAGAATAATGGAGAGCCATGAAAATCTTATGAATATTTAAAAAAATCACCAAATAACTATTAAAAAAATACATGCAATCATCGAGATACTTCTTGACATCCCAGAGATTTTAAAAACTTATTCCTGTACAGAAGAGTAGGCATTAAGAGGAAACAGATCCAGTCCTACCTTTCTTTCTGGAGTCTTTCTTGGCGCTGGTTTTCACAGCTACTTGAAGTTCTGTCTCAGTTGACATCCTACTTAATCCTTAGTCCACTTCACACAGATCCCGGGCCGCGGCCAGGCTCATTGAGGACTCCTCTCCGAGAGAAAGACTCCTCCCTTCAGAAACGACACCCCCAGCTGCACATTTCACTCACTCTTTTCGAGTGCTGTAAATCAAGGTAAGAGAACATTTAGAATTATCACCCTTATGAAGTTAAACAAAAATTAGCAAAAAAAAAAAAAAGAATGAACTGGCAAACATACAAAAAAAAAAGTTAAAAAAACCAAGAAAATCCTGGTCCCTGTGTACAAGCCATTCACATGATTTCGTGAAGCCATTGACAGGGTTTATACAGCAAAGGGAATGAGAAGCTTATCTGCAAAACTGTTTCTCAAAATAGATAACTCAAAATAGATCTTCTAAAGTCTGGATTTTCAAGAGGGGCAAACCCCAAGTCTTTGTTCTCTATGTTTCTTATTTTCAAGCGCTAGATGCCACCCAGAGAATACAGCAAGGGCGTATCTCGAACAGCCCCATGGAGACATTTCCAACAACAGGGCACCTATCCATCAGCCAAGCTTGACCAGAGCCTTGGCAGCTAAAGCAGATCAGAGGGAAGTGACCTGTGGTCTGTCCCTCACTGGCAGGCAGCAGAGGGGACACGGAGTTGACATACAACTGGGCTCCAAGGGTAAGGTGACAAATGGGGCTGAGAAACTTTCCAAGCAAGCCAATTTTTATGTCAGCTTTTCCTTCAGCTATAAGAGCACACACGCATTTAATATGGAGAGAGAAAGAAAAGAAACAGGCAGACACACATTTCATTCATTCATTCTCTAATAAATATGCAATGCACAGTACTAGGTACTATTAAATTCAGACACTGTGCTAGGAAGAGACTAATAATAATAATGGTAACAGAAGCACCTCAATTACAGCGAGTATTTACTATGCATTTACCATTTACTATACCCTCAGCTACTGCTTCACATACATTATCTCATTGGATCTCATTTAAATTGAATTAATGTATGGTATTCCCTTTGTCAGGTCAACAGCCTTTCCCAGTGACTATCTATCATTATCTGATAGTTATATCTGAGAGTTCCATTAAAAGTAAACATTTCACCAGTCATCCACATTGAAAGAATATTAAGAAAAAGCTCCTTGAAATGAGTCTTCACATTATGCAGCCAATTCTTAGCTCATCTCACAGATCTAGAACTGTTTAATTTAAAAGGACTGACCTCACATGCCCGTTTCAGCTCAGAAAGAGTAACAACTCAAACCTTTTAATCATGACAATTTAGTTAATCTTAAACTAGGAAGTCTAATACAAAAATCACATAAAATTATAGTAAGGTTTAAATACAGGGAAATTCCCACCTTAGAAAAAGGTATTTGACTTTCAGTTTTGTATATATAAGCTACGTATTTTTTTTTTTTTAAAGACACTGGCTCCAAATGAAAGTACTTGAGCCACAGGATCTAAGGCTGCAACTAAGGAAAACAGAAAATTATCTTTATAGAGTGGGGTCCACTAAACCATACGTAGAAAATGAGAGTTTCTGCTACCTCTGTCACTTGTATCCGCACCATGCCACCAGCCCTTCTCAACCCCACCTCCCAAAGACAACATTCCATGGGAGATGATAGAGTCACAAAACCTGGTCATACATGGACATACATAATTTTATTAATAGTACTTATCATTTTAGTCCAACAAATATTTACTAAGAACCTACCATGGGCCAGTCGCATATATTCATGTCAGATATTTACTGCTCAACCATGCTGGCCAAGAGTAAGCAGTCAGAGCCTGATTCCTGTCCTCAAAGAAGCTCAGTCTAGCACAGGTATCAGTCATGTAAGGGACTGCAATACATATATGTGACCAAAAGTAAAACAGGCATAAATACCAGGCATACTGGGCACAAAGGAGCAATTCACCTTTGCTTGGAGGAGACAGTAAAGCTTCACAGAGGATGAGCCCTACTCTGTGGCATTTTGAAGTATGACGCTTCTGTCAAATGGATGATGAGGGAAACGACCAACAGGGTCTCAATAAATATGCGTTGAATGAATGAATGGTTGTTTCCAGCAGAAGGATCAGCATGTGCAAAAACAAGGAGGCTTGAAAGAGACAACCAAACCAATAAATGGAAGCACAGGTCTAATAGGGAGGTGCTGTATTTTCTCATGTACCCTTTTTCCCTCATCCTAGTATCTTCCTATGGAATCTCCCTTCTCAAGTCAATCCTGACATTCTACTACTCTTCAAAGTTAGTTCAAAGATATCTGAGGCACAAATATTTTCTGATCTCTATAGTAAAATAGAATCTCTCCCTATATGGTTTGATTTTTGGCCAAATTGATAGTTTTAGCCACTTACAAGCAGGTGATATTCAGAAAGTTACTAATCAGCCTCTCTTTGCCTCAGTTTCTTCATCTGTACAATGGGGATAAATAGTGCCAACTTCATGTTGCTACTGTGGAAATTAAGTGTGATCACACAAGTAATGTGGTTAGAAGAGGTGCACGCCCCCTGGAAAGCACTTAGTAAATATTAGGCACATAGTTTCTCCTGTGTTACTTGCTCAAGGGCACATGGTTAGTATGTGACCACGAGTCCATATTATTACCTCCCCTTGACAGAAGAGAAAATTGAGACAGGTTAGCTCTGCTCTTTGAGGACAAATTGCAGGAAGTGCTTCCATCATGCTGGTCTTGCACACAGCAGGTATCTCATCCATAACTACAGAAAGGAGCTGAAACATATGGATTTTATACATTTTGAAGGATTCTTAAAAGTCAATGTATAAGACTGGATTGGATTTGGGCCATTTTCTACCCTTTAACTTTATAAGCCACAATGTAGCCCCTCTCCTTATTCCTATCTCCAAAGTCACTTGTTCACCGAAATGTGATTGTGTTCAAGTATTACAAGCAACACTTGTGAATTTCTGGAGTACATCCCTATATCAATAATGAGAGGAAACGAGCATCATCTTGAATAAAAACTTAAATAAGGAAGCTGCAGTACAGAAAGAATGTATAATACCACAATGTGGACCCTGGCATCCCCTTTAATTTTCCAAAAGCCAGAGGTTGACCAAATGCTGTGAAGTAACTCCAAATTATTTAGGAAATTCATTTCTTTGTAATTAAGGAGATTAAAGTCCTCCAGGGCCAGAAACCATGTGACAACTCAAATCATTTTCCCCAGTAAAAGCTGTGAAACCCTATCAGTTAAATTCAGGCTTGCCTAGAATTTTGAAATGCTTCAATAATGTTTCTTTGCTCCACACAATCTGCAGTAATTTAATATTCCTGAAGTGTGTCAGGTTTTTTATAATGAGCTCTTCAAATCTAAATGTGAATTATGTAACATTCCACTACAGACATTCTGTCTAGTGAATTGCTTCTAAAATGTGAAATTCCATGTTCAGGGATGGGGTGGGGGAAGTAAAAACACCAAACCACAAAGCAGGGAGAAGAGATATGCCTTTAAAAAAAAATACAAAAAACAAAGCATGAAGGTTTGAGCATCTACAACAGAACAAATACATGCTAAAACACATACGTTAATACAAATTTGTATTCTCTCTCCCTCCCCAACCCCTTCCCTCATACAGTCCTCCAGAAGAATAGCTATGGATCATCGAGGGCCCACTGTTTGCCAGGTACGACATACGCTATGAGCTTTTCACACATTATCTAATTCAACCCTTTTAACCACTTGAAAAGTTAGATATTATTATCATCTTCATTTAATAAAGGAGGAAACTGATACACAAGCCAGTCTAGTAGCTTGTCCAAGGTCACATGGCTAAGGAAACAGCACAGCGCAGGACAGGGTACAAGCCACTCTTGTCCCCAACTTCACTCAAAACCCTCCCAGGTGTCCATCAGTGGACGAACGGATTAAAAAATGTGGTACATCCATTGGAATATTATTCAGCTGTAAAAAGAATGCAGTACTGATATATACTACAACGTGGATGAACCTTGAAAACATCAGGCCAAGTAAAAGAAGTTAGACAAAGTTGTATATTGTGTATGGTTGTATATGGTTTCATTTGTACAAAATGTCCAAAATAGATAAACCCATGGAGACAGAGAGTAGATCAGGGATTGCTAGGGGATGGAGGAGGGGAGGGGAGTTGAGTGACCACTTAATGGGTACAAGGTCTCCTTTGGGGATGATGAAAATGTTTTGGAACTGAACAGAGGTGGAGGGTTGTATAACATCATCAATGTAATAATTACCTCTTTAAAATCATTAATTTTATGTTATATGAATTTTACCTGAATCAGGAAACCAAAACAAAACCCTTTCAGCCTGATATAAAAACCTTGTGTGATACATTGAGGATACCACAAATTCCAGTCTAAAAAGACAATGTAGCCCTAAAAACCAGATGAAGAGGTAGTCTTCTCAGAATCAGAATTTCGGGTTTATGTGGCAGTAATTGCATGTATTAAAAACTGTACACCACTATCTGCCTGTTTTGTGATTTGGTACATCTTACTGAACTTCATCCAAGCTATAAAGCACAGAAAGCAGGCCATTTATCAACAAGGTACTAGTTGCAACAGTACAAATGAGCAGCCTCAGTTTCCTCATCAGTAAAATAGAAATGCCACCAAGTATGTGAGATTCAGAAGGTAAGTGTGATCTAGGCACTTAAAAAGCCTAGATCAATCTGTAGCATGCTACCTTTTCTGTAAGAAAGGAAGAGACAGAAATCTGCTTATCTATACAAAAAGAAACACAGGCAAACTGACCAGACAACAATGAAATTGTTTTTTCTATATGGGGAGGTATTGAATGGTGGAGTGACCAAGTGTTAGGGTAGAAGGGGTAAGACAGAGGGTGATATTTCTCAGAGTATAGCTTTTTGCATAATTTCCACATTTGGAAGCATATTATATATATATAAGTAAAATGTATAGAGATGGGAAGGGAGAGCTGAAAACTGAGAGCAGACAGAAGCAAATCAACTCAACTGGATATTAAATGAACATCAGCACACTTTCTCGAGGGGCAAAGGAGAAAAAAGTAATCAGAAAACATATGCAGCACACAGAATTCGACACAATACACTTGTTTTTGCACAGGGTTGGGGCAAGAAGAGCAGCAAACAAATCCCAAGCTCTTTTTGG